CTATGTTTTGGATAAGGAATTGTATTTGTTTCAGCTTAGCCACCTTTGTATTTTTTTTTTTATATATTATTTTGTGTTGAAAGTCTCAACCCTTTCAAGGTGGGGGGTATATGTTTCTAAAGTATAAAATGATTTCTGTTAACGAATGGTAAATGTGGCAACGCCAAACCTATATTGCAGACTTCTGTAATATCGGCTGCCCTGGGAGATTGCTATTGGGGGAGAAAAAAGGGAAGGGGGAACATGTCTTTGTCTTTTGAGTGTGGCCGTCTGGCGAAAGGCTGTAAAAAGTGGCAGTGCAAATAAAATGTAATTTTTGATTGAAATTTTCGAGTATTTATTACAAAAAAGTGTCAACAACAATTAGCTGAAGCTTAGGAATGGTTCCTAACAAATATCGTGACGGAAAAATCTCAGAACATTGTTTGATAAAAGCTCGCCACAACTCTTCCATATTGCTCCTAATTAAGTGGACATCGCCATAATAATCGATGATCGCCGACATTCACAAGGGATAGGCACATCCAGAAGAAGAAGAAATAAAAAAATAAAAACAGAAGAAATGCCGTTGGACCAAACCCGAAAAAAAAGTTACTGCAAAAACATATTTATGCTATTGAGCTTACTGTTATGGTTAAGTTTAATTGAATAATTTTGCTATTTGAATTTACTCAGATATTTTACACATTTTGGCAACTCGGCTTTCTGTTTCATAACCCTGAAATTTGAAAAACATTTTGTCATCAAATGTCATTATTATACGAGGGTCAACCTGTCAAGTTTCCATGGATAATGCTACGCCAATAATAAGTGAAAAGCATATAAATGGAGAACAAATCTGACAATGTGTCGAAGTTAATTATATTCAGTGTTGAAAACTTTGTCATCATGTGTCAAAGTCGACAGGTGCAGTTATTGTTGCTTGACAATTAGTTTTACTCACAGATTAACCCGTCCTAAAGATAGGAAACTTCCATGTAAAATGTTCGTTCGGAGCTGTCTCGAAAATGTGGAGCTTCATGACTACCAAAGCTATGCGGCGCTAGTATACGAAGCCACAAGCAAATGTCACCTGTGAACTGTGAACCATAGAGAAATATAATAAACCAAGGTAAGAGTTACCGATTCATATGCGCCAAGTGGCAACGTATTTCTTGTAGCACATGGTGGCGCTAGTATAGCTTGGAACTATCTGACAATTCTGACATCGCCTCCTATTCTTATATCTGTCTCTTTTTAACAGATGTGATAATAAAAGGAAGAGAGAACATAAGGTTTCAATTATTGTACATTGCGATTTTCAACCTATAAAATGACATTTTCTTTTTTCAAAACTGACACAAATGAGTGAACTTCTCTATGGAGTGAACCTCAAATTAATTAGTTTAAAAAATACATGATTCTGGTAAGATTTACAATGTAAAAATCGTTGAGTTCATGCATAAATAATAATAATTATTTAATACTAACCTATCATTAGTGAAAAGTGAGATGTTTTGGCTGTTTTTGTTTTTTTTTTTTGTTGTAATTTTTTTGCAATTTATTATTTACAAAGTTAAATTTATGTATAATTTAATTTTTATTATTTTTGGTTAATTGCCAATGATCAAAATATATAGATTTCTCCATGGAAATTTTTTGATTATTTTTTTTTGATTCCAGGCCAGCGTTTTCCAGAATCTTTTTTTCTGTCGACTACGGAAAAACGCTGGGCTAGATTTTTACCTTCAAAAATAACAAGACTATAATCTGAAAGTTCAAAAAGCCCGCCAAATATTATTTAAGTTGGTCTTGTAGTGGATAGTGGCGCTAGTATCGATATGACGTCATCGCGAAGCCAGTGTCGCACCACAGAATTGGTAACTCTCACCTTGGTTTATTATATTTCTCTATGCTGTGAACTGTGAATGGTGAATATAATTTGTCAATGTGTTTGTCATCAGTTAGCCGTTTGATCGGTGTGTGTTCTTTTATTTAATTTCCTATCAATTTTGGATAAAACTTTGACTTGTTAATATGTTTTTAAAAAAAGAGACTTTATGTTACATTCAAACATAGTGGAAATGCTCGTGGAAATGGAATGAGTGATGGTTTTTATTCGCCCTTGTTTGATATTCACATGAAGTGTGATTTGTGCACCAAATAAGACCAAAATTCCTAAAAATATACCTTCATTTATAGCATAGGCATTAGTGCAGTGGAAGCTTCTGAATTCATGCCATCACCACTTTATCCTCAGAGACTTTGCTGGGTGTGAAATTAGTGAATTTTATTTGCAGTATTATAAACTTTTTATTGTTTTTTTTTTTCAATACGTTTTTCTTTTATTGTTGTGTTTAAGGCTGTTCTAATAAAGAAGGAAATGGTAATGAAATGTTGTTGTTTTATTTCAAAAAAAAACTACAGATAATAATAAAATAAAATCGATTAGGGACAAATTATTTGAAAAAGGGCGGGAAACCACGTGAATAATGCTACAACACTGAACACCCTAAAGTGCACACTAGCGCCCCCATGCTGTGGCAGTCATACAACTCGTTGTATGAGTAAGACAAGGATAGGGGAAAAGGCACGAGTTTCCTATCTTTAGGACGGGTTAATCTGTGGTTTTACTTTTCGGCACTCAGTGCGGATACAGGCCTTATCCGCAAGGAGTCCGAAAAGTGTAACTTTGAGCACGAAAATGCGCGCGGAAAAGTACTACTTTGCGCATGCTCGTAGGAAAAATATTTTAATTTTATTTTAATTTAACAAAGAGCGATCGTGGCACCATCTAAAACTAGGATTCAGCACTAAACAGCACTTTTGCTGTAAAAGAACTGACCGTCTGACCGTCTAATAGGCCGACCAAAAATCAGTTAGTTGGGAAAACCCAAAATAGGGAAAACAAGTTTTCTCCTATTATCCACTGATGTGAAAATTTTGGATTAATTTTCTTCGCTTTTACATCCACAGACGCGTTTTGATCTATCAGATCTCATCAATGTGGCTAGGAAAGCAAAGAAAATCAATCCAAGTTTAGTGCCTGCAGGCAAAGTAGAAGTAATACGAAGAGCGAATTTTGCTAAACTTGGATTGGTTTTCTTTGCTTTCCCAGCCACACTGATGAGATTTGATAGATCGAAACGCGTCTGTGGATGGAAAAGCGAAGAAAATTAATCCAAAATTTCCACATTTTAATTTGACTTAATTGAGATAGCTTTGTCAAGAGGTATTATCTTTTGGACAATAGAGCACAAAATGACAAATCGAAAGCCAGCATTCAAGAAATACTTGAAAATGTATACGTAGAAATTAAAATAGTAGAAGAAAATTTGAATAAAAAACGGCTCCTCCAGGATAGCGTTTGGGAAACTACAAATACAGAAAATGAAAAAAATTAAAAAAGCCACAATGGATTACGAAGAAAAACTTGATAAAATTAACATGCCTTTAGCCGAAACTAGCAACATCAGTAAAAGCCACAGAGCGTGTAAAAATTTAAATTTTAATTTAAAAAAACTGAGAATTGCATCAATTTTTTTGCAATCATTAATATTTTTTTCAATTCGTACATTTCTTGTACGCTGAAAAAATGCATTAATCAAAAATAAAAAAAAAATCGCAATCCTTAATTTGTAAAAATCAGTCAATCCGTGAATTATTATTTAACATCCTGGACACGCAGGATGATGTATGGTTTGTTGATTTTTATACAGGCAGGCATTGCGATTCATTGTAGATAAGAAAAATTATTTAACACAAGTTTTTGTTGCAATATTAAGTGATTTTTAATATTATTTATGTATGCAAATATTCATAAATTATGATTTTGAAATGATGAGACTAAACAAGTTACACCGTTATTTGGCAATGACATATAGTGGACACATAGTGGAAAAAAATAAAAATTCATTTGGTCAACTTTGAACTAAAGTGTACTCGAATATAGAACGTCAGCTAATGACAGATTTTGCTGACCGATTTTCTATCTTCGGGGATTTCAACCACTGAAAATTATGTCAGTGCTGAGCCCAAAAAATGAAAATTTAGCGACCGTACGTCTGCTAGGCATATGGAAAATCTACTTTCTTTTTGCAGCGGTCGGAAAACATACCTAAACAGCTAACCGGCTTATGGGAATTTTTTTATGGTTTCTAACGATATCAAATTTGTCTGTCGATCACCCTAAGCGAGAAAACGATCAGCAACCGAGTATTCTTTCACAAGATGGCGTCCTTATTTCAACCCTTTCAGTACGTTTAAACCTTATGGCTTTGATTTTCCATTATAAGATTGTTCTATAAGGTTAATGTGTTAAAATGACATGAAAGAGAAATTGAAAAAATGATCTATTTTCTTCTGCAATAGGAAAATAGATTTTCCATATGCCTAGCAAACGTCCGGTCGCCAAATTTCCACTTTTTGAGCTCAGCACTGACATAATTTTCAGTGGTTGAAATCCGCGAAGAGACAAAATTCGTCAGCAAAATCTGTCATTAGCTGACGGTCTAATAGCTATTGAAATAAATTTAATAAAATTCCTTTATTATTTATTCAATGAAATAACTACATAGATCCACGCGCAAAAGCGTTTTTCTACTTCGTCGATCATAACAAATTTATTCCACAACTCACGATATGATTTAATAATCGTATACAAAACTAATTGAAATAGATTTTTTATAATACATTTCCTATATTCTCGCCCCTCTAATGTTACCCAATACCAAGAAAATGTATAAATTCGATGGAGAGTATCCCGGAAGAATTAGTGCAGTTCCTTTCAATCGCCTGACAGTACTCTGCGATTCTTGTATGTTATCGTTTGTCTGCAATTAATCAATTATTACCTACCTAATTAGATATCTAAATTTTGGTTTCAAAATTATTTTTGGGCGGATTATAATATTTTAAATTAAAATTCTTAAGCTCATGGTATCAGATTGAAAACTTTTTGTAAATAATTATTATATTTAAATCATGAGGCTAAAATTATTATGTGTGAATTTCCTTTTTCAGATCATGATGTTCAGGATTTTCTTATTTTGTGCTTTTTCTGGTAAGTGAAACATCAGAACAATAATTTTTCATATATTGTTATTGCTTTGTCACAAAAAATACCATAATTTTTCTAAACAATAACGACTTCTGCATTCTTTGGAAGAAATGTTTATCAAGTTCAGCAATGCTTCAGCCAGTTTCATGTAGGTTTTAACAACTATTTGGAGAAGTAAAAGGCTAAATGGCTGTAGCAAAGGAAATTCAGTTAATGATTTAATTTCATTTTGGAGTGTTGTCTCTTCTCCTGTCTGGACTAATTCTTTCCGTAAACATCTTCTGGATCCATCAGTGTTCATTGCCAATCAGTTGTCTTTATTTTGGGAAATTACTTTTAATGAATAATAAAAAAACGGAAGAACGATTCAATAATGAGTAAGTTTCCTTCAAATTTATTTTTAATAATTTAATTTTTTTCTATTTCAAATATAATCCTGATACATTGCTTCTCGTATTAATTGCAAAGGCAATAAGCAATGAGTTCTGGAAGTATGATGAGTTCGTAAAGGTGTCCTTGGTGATAATATACAGCCAGTAATTTTCTGTAGTAGGTAATTTAGAAGTCTTATTGTCGTCGACCTCTAAAACTAATGTTGAATCCCATTAATCATCTTCATGCTATGCTTTTATTCAGTTACTGTTGAAACCTTTCTAAGTGATTGTTTATTTTCGTCTCCTTTTCGTTGAATGTTGCTAGAGTGTGTAGCATAAAATTATGCTGATTTGAGGCTTTGATTATTTTTCATCTCACTTCTCCCGGTTGGTGGCCATATTTCATTTTTTCATCCATAGAAGTTGATAGTTTCCTGTTTCCTTGCGACATACATTGGCGCATGTTGCTAACTCCCTTCTCTCTTTTTTATTATTCATGTCATGTTGGATGCGTCGCTAGATGTTCTTGGTTTTTGTCTCTCAAATTTGATTTCGATCCCGAAATTTCCTCTGTCAGTCTTATGGCCGTTTGCACCGGCCATTTCAAGGAAGCCTTAGCGATAAGTATTCCTTATTTCTACCATTTTATCGTCTTGTATAAAAAATAACTATTAAACAACAATGTCAAATAAAAAACAATGTTTTTTTACTACTAACCTGAGAAATAGACATTATTCAATCTATTTTTCTAAGAAAAAATTGAATTTCTCTCCCTAGGTTAATAATGAAAATAATGAAAAAATACCTAGGTCAATAATGAAAATGACGTCATGACGCAAGGATATTGTCATGTTTCTATTGGATCAATTTCAATTTCATACGTCAATTTGAAAAAAAATACAGGTTTCTGTAGGTACATAGGAAGTTATATAAGCTGTTGATAGAGGGCAGCACTTTCAAGAGGGCGTTCAAAAAAAATAATTGGAGCACAGATTTTAAACAAATTTTTCATTTTCTACTAGCAGTAGTAAAAAAAATTCTATATATTCCTCGGTAAAGAAAGTCATTATATACCTCACTCATTATAAACCTCGGCGCGAGCGCCTCGGTTTATAAAAGCTTTCGGTATATAATGACCAACTTCTCTACCTAGGTATATAATATACTATTATTCTGAATATTAATAATAATATGTAATATTATTACAAGAGTTGAGGTACCTACTGATAAAAATATACTTTTTCTACAACTGTCAAAAAATGATGATGTTCGCACACTCATGACAGTTTTCGAAGTGACACTTTTTTTCCCAGGTATTGATTTTTTAACGTTCCCATGACGCCGTGCGCGAACTAGCTATTTCGCACACTAGTTCGCACACTGGTGTCATGGTGACACATACCTGTCAGGAAATCAAAAATAATTAAAATTCACCTACCTTTAATAGAAAATGCAATTTTTGGATTGATATTTAAATGGAGTTGTAGAAAAAATATTGTTTGCAACTCGGGCGCGATTTTTTCGCACCCTAGTGCGCGAAATAGCTAGTTCGCATACTGGTGTCATGGTGACACATACCTGTCACGAAACCAAACATAATTAAAATTCACCTACCTTTGATTGAAAATGCAATTTTGCCTTCGGATGATCGATATTTAAATGCAGTTTTAGAAAAAATATTGTTTGCAACTCGGGCGCGAAATACTTTGGTGATCTCGATCACCAAAGTAGCATTTCGCGCACTATATACAAAAATAACTATAAAGCAAACTGATCAATAATGCAAATACTGAAAATATAATGTACTGGCCTTTCAAGTTTTACACTACAAAATATAGAATTAAAAATAGGGATGAATTTGAGTTATAGGTAATTTTTGAGGATGAGTTTTCACTGATTTTGGTATAGAATTAGGTGAGTTAACATGCTTCTGACTCTATCTTTCACAAGATCTGATTTTTTTCGTGTTTCATGATGAAACCCTATGGTAAAATAACGTTTCAAAATTAATTTGGACCCAGGACACCTGGATCCTAATTCTTGAATCAGGGGAGCAGCGTTCCCGAGAGAACGAGTGTTCCGTCTTTGTTACCTACATTATCAGTTGCATATCATTGAGAAAGACGGAACACTCGTTTTCCCGGGAACGCTGCTCCCCTGTTTCAAGAATAAGGACCCTGGGGGTTGTCTAAAAACTCGTCATCAAAAATGTGATCACCAAATTCGTGGAAATTTTTTTGGGGAAAAACGTTAATGGTTTTATTAACTATTACAGCCATTATTTGTCTGGAATGAGAGGCTAATGAAACACTTTGATTTTGCCTCAATACCTTCTCACCCCAAGTACATATTTCTCATACAAATTTTGATGCTTTAAATAAATTTCCAAAAGTTTTTCTTTTTTGTGACAAAGGCAATGATTCATTTGTCTCTAATAGACGAATGCATTTTGCCCATGTAATGGATTTTTTAAGCATTTAACGACAAATCCTGCAATATACACAATAACATCATTATTAAATGATGATAACTGCCATCCTGACAAAGAAAAGTAGTCGAGACCATCAGGTTGGTAGCAGAGTAGCAGAATTTATATCCTAATAAAAATTTCAGATTTCTTCCAATAACATACTTTTGATAAATATTATAAAAACTTTCCATACCCACCAGAAAACCCAGAAACCCAGTTTTCCTATTACTGTCGAGTAAAGGTTTATTTTTTAGAGACAAATTTAATATATAATTTTTTAATTCAGAAACTTTATTAAAAAACATGTTTGCAGTTTCTGGGCACAATGCTTTTTTAAAGATATAGGTACATATTTCGTGAATTTTGATCTAGAGTTTAGAATATCAAAAACATCGTTAAAAAGTTGACAAAACCGTGCAGTTTCTGCAGCTCCTTCAAATTTATCAATTCCCAAGTCTTTTTGTAAAAAATTGAGAGCATCAGATACGCTTCTGCTAATCACTTGAGTAGCTGTTTTAAACCTCATTTTCTCTTTTGCAAAATTTATATGCTTCTTCCGGAGATTTGCCGCTGCTAACAAACCTTCTTCATTCTGAAAATTAACTAATTTAACAAGACATTCCCAGTATACTATTTGGCACGCATTTGTTGTTAAAACTTTCAATTCTCCCAAACAATTTCTTATCAAATTTTATCATAATATGACAAATGTCGTGAAATATAAAAAAAACTTTTTCTTTGGTAATAGGGTGAATAAAATGAGTGGTTAGGTTATCAAAATCAGTTAAACTTGCTTCCATAACTGCTTAGCCATATTTATATTTGCGGCAGCACCATCAAAAGTAATTGATGTTATTGTTATACTTGAAGGATGTAAAAATTCCAGACACATATTAACTAAATTTGCTCTTTCAATACCAGACAGGCCATCAATAAAAAAATATTCAACTGGAATTTTCCATTTACCATTAACACTAGTTACTAAAAACACAATGGCTTCTTTAGCCTCTGGAAGGGTATCTGTCGCGACATTTGCTCCAATATCCACATATCCCACAAATTTCTCCCCTGTCCACTCGTTTTTTTTTTCGGATTGACATTTCATCAATCATTAGGTTGCCATAAATGGGTTTCCCTTTCTTACCACTTTTCTTTACTTTGAGGATCAATGCATTTAAAGCCTCTTGGGTAAATCCAGGCTTACCATCAATTTTCTGGTACCATTTTGACACAGTTGATGAATGCGGTAAAGACTTATTAAACTTTTCAAGTACATAGTTGTAAGCTCGTGGTGAGTAATTGAGTAAAAGTGCAAGGTCAAAGCAACCTTTGAGAATATTTTTGATTCTTTGAACCTTTCAAAATATTGTTTACAAATTATGATGCTGGGCCGGGCAAAGCATTCTGAGAAAAAAAAATGTTTATTGAAATTATTTATTGCTCAATCTATTTATACATTCACCTCAATAGCTTCTTGAGCATTATCTGATATTAAGTTTTTTCGTTTTAGAAAACTTAAGAGCGAATTCAAATTTGTGACTCTACTCCTTATTCTTGCATTTTGCCTTTTCAAGTTAATTACCTTTTTCCGATATTCTTGCATCTTAGTTTTGGCCAAATTGAATGCTCTTTTTGCTGCAGTTGGTGATGAAAAATCACCACTAGAAATATCTCCAACATAACGTCTGTGAGGTTTTCGAGACATTCTTATTCTAAAATTAATTATAATGATTATAATTTTAAAGAAAAATAAGAAATTATATAAAAAATATACCGCTTCGCAAATTGTGCTGATGATGATCCAAAATTAGAGCCACTTTCTGATGTAGACTTACTTGAAGACCTACTACATAGATGAAGTAAAGTTTAATATTATGATAAGTTAAAGTTTTGCATTATTCACTCACCGTTTTGTTGATGAACTTATAATTAAATTTTTATTTTGTATATTTTCAATGCCAGTTTTTACATTATTGTCCAAAAAATCTACTGTATTCGAGGCCATATTTACCGTCTCTTCACAGGCAGTCAAAGTAATTTCTGAAGCACTATTGCTGGTTATTTTTGAAGAATTAGAGTCAAAAGCTTTTCTACAAGAAAATGAAAAAGAAATTATGTGGACAAATTAATATGTAGTATATAATATTTACAAACCTTTT